ATAGACAATAAAAATACTCGCTCCGCTTGCGGCCCGCCCATCTCAGGAATATACCTTACTGATGATTAGGCTTCCTATTATAATTTAAGGTATATTTCTTAACTAAGGGGGGGTTTGGAGTCTCTGGGCACGAGGGTTCAAGGGATGCGTTGTTCAAAGCACTCAGGTCGAGATGGTGCTGGCTCGCTTAGGCGCAACTGCTGCAGAGGCCATCGCCGAACGCTTGGCTGTGGCTGAGGCCCGAGTTTTGGGGGTTCAGGATTTCTAAGGCAACGGTTTAGGGTTGCTTGTGTTTTTTTTGGAACTTTCTAGGGGCTTGGTGCTCAATGAGTAAGGTAATCTTTCAGGGGGCATCGACGAACAGGCTGCAATTGTTTGGTGTTTTCCGAGCTTCGCGGTTTTTGTTCAAGCACCTTGCTCCCATTTTCTTCAACGTCCTGAGCTCTGAGCTTTGCTCATAGAAGCCCGAAGCTAATCCTAGACCCCCCAAAAATCCGAGACACTTTACCCCGAAGCCCCCCGAAATCATAGATCTTCACACGATCCAAAACCTTTCAAACCAAGACCCGGAACGGTTTAGGCTGGTGTTGTTGGTGATGATCGTATCATGCCAACCGTGCAGAGGAGCACCATGCTTATAGAGGATTGAGATTAAGTACTGGTAATATCTCGTGATCTTAAACAGAAAGAGCCGTAAGCATTAGCGCCCATGAACTAAATCAGAACCCGAAGATACTTTAAGTGCCCCAGACCCCGGAGAAGAGCAAGAACTTTCGGCTGCGAGGTGGATGTCGTGGTGGGGGCCTCGCGAAGCCAGGCTTCCGGCCATGGCCACAGCCCTGGGCTCACGAAGCTGAGTTAGGGGTTGGGGTTTAAAATTTAGGGCTTAGGGTTTAGGGCTGAGCTGGGCTTCTATGAATGGGGGGTGCTCAGAAGGAGGTTTGTTTTTTTGTGTATCGGGCTTGGCGCTCGGGGTTGAGAAGGTCTGTATGGCAGCGGGTTTCGGCTATCATCCCACAACCCATCCACAGCATCAAGGTTTGTGCCACGCAGCTGCTTAGGACATTTCTGAGCCACATGTATAGAAACAGGGACCACGCTCTGCTAAACCCGATATGCCCGCCAAACCCGATAAACTTCAGTGCCGGCGTGCACTGGTAAACTCCTCCCAAGCCTTCTCTGAATGAAGCCTTATGAAACTCAAAGAACCCCACAGGCCTCAAGCCCTACAGCCAGCCTGAACCCTAAATTGCGCTAAAGGCCCTAAAGGCCCCAAACCCGAATCCCTAAAGACCCCAAACCCTGAACCCCCCTAAACCCTAAACCCTAAACCCTGAACCCCCCAAACCCGAAAGGCCCTAAAGGGCCCGAACCCTTCAGGTTACCAGGCCGCCGACCCGCCCAGTCCTCCCAGCAGTGCGGGCAGCGCGGAGCCTTCCTTGGACCGGGCCCGGGGGGGCAACGAGTAACTATACAGGGTTTAGGGGTTTAGGGGGTTTAGGGCTTATATAGGGTTCAGGGTTTAGGGGGTTTAGGGTTTTGGGTTCAGGCGGTTTAGGGTTTAGGGTTTCCTTCCACAAGCTCTAGACCTCCTGGCGCTAGCTAAATTTGAAGTTGCAAGTTCATGGCAGTGCTGTTTAGCGTTTCGGGTTACAGGGTTTTGGGTTTAGGGTTGGGCTCATACCCGGAGACTCCAAAACCCCTTGCTGAAAATTAAAGATTATGCCTTAACTCTATTTCGGGTTCCTGACGTTCCTTATGAAAGTTTATGGTAGATTCCAGAAATCAAGGGGTTTTGGAGTCTCTGGGTAGTTTTGGAGTTTCTCGGGCTTCGTCCTTTCTGAAGGAGGTTTAATTTAGGGTTTAGGGTTTAGGGTTTAGGGTTTAGGGTTTAGGCTTAAAGGGCTGCTCGGGGTGTTTCGGGGAGTTTCCGCCTCCCAGACCCCAATAGATCCGAAGCCTTAAATCCTCAACCCGACATCCAAAGCCCTCAAACCCCCGGCCCCCCCAAACCCCCAAACCCCAAACCCCCAAACCCTAAACCCTAAACCCTAAACCCCAACCCTAAACCCTAAACCCCTAAACCCTGAGCCCTAAACCCCTAAAAACCCCAAACCCTCCCTGAGAGGTTTGGGGCTTGCTGCCCAGGAGGCGACCCGGCTCAGAGGGCCAGGCTCGGGTTTTTGGTTCAAAGGTGTTTAAGCGAGTCTTGCAAGGGGTTTCTGCAAGACCTGTGGATTTGCAAAGAAACCTTGTCGCGGTTCTTACAAGGTTCGTTTAGATTAGTAGCAGAATCTTGTAGGCATGTTTAATGTTTATTAAATAAGGGATTCTTATAAGCTCTTGCTACTTGTAACTTTTGTGATCAGGGTTTTGCAAAGTTTTTGGTGTCTGGGTTTTCGGATTCAGAGTTTTCGGGTGCAGGGTTGGGGTTCAAGGTTTGGGTCTCAGAGCTTGGGCTTTTGGTTTTGGGGTTTTTGGCACTTAAAGGAATTTGGGGTTTCAGGAGTTGGGGAGTCGGATTGAGCGTGTCGTGAGGTAATGTTGAAATTCCAGATTTACGGACTTTGGTGGGACTTTGCGCCCTAAACCCTAAGCCCTATAAACTTTAAACCGTAACGCTCACGAAGCAAACAAAAACTAAACACTTACTGACTTTGGGAGCTCAAACCCCCCCCAAAAAAATCCAACCAAGCCTCTGATGGCTTCCACACCCCGAAAACCTTCCTGAGTTTATGTGGGAAGGAAGAGCGAAGCCGGGCTTTTCGGCGGCGTGTGAAGAACGAACTTTCCAGCCGGGGCCTTTGGTTTAGGGTTTAGGGTCTAGGGAGGGTTCGGGAGCCGGGTCTGCGCCTTGTGCCTTGCTCTTGAGTTACGGATTTTCGAAATTTGCATTGTGATGAACCCAGGAGCCTGGCAAAACATGAAATCGACGAGCTCCATCGAACTACGTCTCCGGACCTTCAATGTGAAAAGCTCGCACCCCACGGATTCGCATTGCGTACTTCGCTCGAGTGCCCTAAACCGTAAGCCCTGAACTCGATACCTTTCAGCCTTAACCTGCAACCTGAAAGCCCGAAAATGCCTTACCAACACTAGCCCCTAAACCCTAAACTCTACACACCGAAAAAACCATATAAACCCTAAGCCGAAAAACGCTACACGCCCTAAAACTCAAGAAGCAGTAAACCCCACAGACCAAAACCACTCAAGCCCTAGCAACCCTCAACCCGATAAACACTAAATGCGATAACCCCCAAACCCCAAACCGGAGAAACAACAAGCCCCAAGAACCCAAAAGCTTACAAGCCCTTTAACCGCAACAGGCCCTATCAATCCAAGAAGGCCTGGGTCCAACAAGTTGCCCCCGAAATCCCAAAAGCGCCGACACCTAGCAGCCCAAAACGCTATAAATCCCATCCTAGAAGCCCATCAACCCCAAACCCTAAACCCTCCGTTAATCCTAGAAGCCCCTAAGCACTAAACCCTCCATGAATCCTAGCAGCCCCTAAACCCTAAGCCCTCAACCCTCCATGAATCCTAGCAGCCCCTAAACCCTAAGCCCTCAACCCTCCATGAATCCTAGCAGCCCTGAGTCCGCCCAAGTTTTCCCGGAGTCCCAAAACCCTAAACCCTAAACCCTAAACCCTAAACCCCTAAACCCTAAACCCTAAACCCTAAACCCCTAAACCCCAAGCCCTTCCAGGTGCAGCCCAGGCCGCACATCGAGCCTCCCAGGCGGCGCTGCGCGAGGCGGGCCCCAAAGGGGCCGAAGCCTTCGTTTCCGAGGCCTGGGGTTTAGGGATTTAGGGCTTTAGGGTTTTCGGGTTTAGGGTTTTCGGGGCTTAGGGTTTTAGGGTTTAGGGATTTAGGGCTTTAGGGTTTTAGGGTTTAGGGTGTTAGGGTTTAGGGATTTTAGGGTTTTGGGTTTAAGGCCTTGGGGTTAGAGGACTTTAGGGTTTAGGGGCTTCAGGGGTTTAGGGCAGGGATTTAGGAATTCAGGGTTTTAGGGTTTAGAGTTTAGGGCCTTGGGGTTTCGTTGTCTTCGGAGGATTTTGTTGGTGCTTTGTACAGTTCGGGCGCAGGGGATTGGAAGCATCTTGTATTCGGTTTTCGAATTCTGTTGGCGGGTTTGGCTTCTTTCTATGGGACTCCTTGAGCTGTGGGGCTTGTGCCCAAGCTGCAGGCTCTTTCTATGAACGGTGTAGCATCGCCGCGCAAGAGTTCCTCAGGTTATATCAATTACACATTATATAAGGTTCAAAGACCCTAAACCTTAAACCCTGTGATCTTCGTACGCCTTTAGTACCGGTCTGCTCGCGGGGCTATCAAGCATTCTTCCCTGCCGAAGCAGACTGTGTTTCGGATCCACAATATATATATATATATATAGAGAGAGAGAGAAGCCTGCATAATTACCAATATCATGTTTACTAACCCCTAAACCTTAACCCTAACCCCTGAATCCTGAACTAAACCCCTGAATAACCCGAAACCCGAAACCCCAGCGCACATACCGGAGAAAGAGCTCCAGGTCTGGTCATTTCTGCAGTCCGAAGAGCGCCCTGATCGACTTCTTGCTTTCGGTGCTGGCTGTAGGGCTGACTAAAGGTGTTCCTTCAAGGGATCTCTGAGGGCTTCTCTGGGTCTATAAGGGTACTATATGTAATACTATGACTATAACGGTAGTTCTCTAAGGTGTTCCCTAAAGGGATCTCTGAGGGCTTCTCCGGGTTTTCTATATAAGGGTACCACAGGTAAGACTATAGCGGTAGTTCTCGAAATTCATTTAAGGGCTCTTCAAGGGGGTCGTTCAGGGTTGCGGCAAGAGATAGTACGGGGATCAGCATAGGGCCTCAAGATTTAGAATGCCGTTTGTAAGGGGTATATTATATAGTATAATCATCAGAACGAGCGCTCGCAACGAATATGGATAATTCTTTCGGGCTCCTATATGCGTCTGCGGAGGCTTGGGTATCTTGGAGCTGATTCCAGCAAAGATTTGGGGTCCAAGGTCCAAGGATGTCTGGAGGGTTTATCAGGCAAGGCAGGGGAGACAGGAGCTTTTTGGGTCTATTGGCTCTGGTTCCTGGGGGTTGTCTAGAACTCAGGGCTCACCACAGTTTTTTGTTGTTTAATCTTGTGCTTTCAGACCAGTCGCCTCAAAGCGAGCTCAGGTGCTGTGAAGAGATGATGGTTGAGATCGTCTGTTCTCAAACCGACCCCGAGATCCAGCGGGCGCTTCGAAGTGTGTTCCTTGTTGGCAGCAGAAGGGATGGTCGGTGGTTTCTTGATTTTGAACTTTTTCGCTCTCCCTGCGCGAAACGTCCTAGTCTCGTGATGGAATATGTCCGAAACACTGTTCCTGACATCGTCAGGCCCCACTCCCATCGTTCCACGCTCCAAGGCACCACCATAGATCCTGCAAGGTTTTGGTGATTTCGGGTTTAGGGTTTGGGGAAAAAGCGCTCAGGGGTAAGGGGTTTCTGGACTTACGATTCTTTTAGGGTGTAGGGTTGGGCCCTGAGCCCCAATTCTCGCAACCCTATATCCTCCCTTCGCCCCAATGACCTACCAATTTGGACGTACATATGGAATGCATGATAGTAAGTTAGTAAGCCCTAACAAGGTAGGTTTTTTGGGGACCAGGTAACCCTGAAGCCTAAACCCTAAAACTTCAATTTCCAGCAGACGCCGAGGATTCGTTCGTCTTCGGACCGGCGGAAAAGTGCGTCAAGAGCTTCGAGCGCAGACATGTCACAGCTGCCTGAGGCTTCGGGGATTAGGGTCTGGGGATTTTAGGGTTTAGGATTCAGGAGTCTAGGATTTTTGAGTTTTGGGTTTAGGGTTTAGAATTTAGGGTAGACTGCTAGACCGAGATTTATAGCATCTAGGGAAGACTGCTAGACCGAGATTTAAACACTAAGCCCCAGAAGAGATCTTAGACCAAGCCCAATCCTATACTCTATACCCTACACCCCTTCAGGCTTACCTGCTTCATGTCCTCTTCTTCCTTGGCTCTGCTGCTGACTTGGCCGCTTTTGGAGCAGCGAGCTCCGCGACGCAGGACATGTCAGAGCAAGACGCGCTGCTTCGATGCATTCACAGTTGAAGCTTCAAGATTTTAGGGCTCAGGCTCGTAAATGCATGAAGGATTTCAGGACGTAGTTGGGGCTATGGGAGTTTTAGGGGATAAATTGGCATGGGTCTTGCAGCTCCCCGAACACCTTCGTCAGGAGCTGACTCGCTATTCGGCGTAGACAGCGTGCACAGAGGGGTCTTGACACGCATATAATGCGGTGACCCAGGAAGAACGGCATTTCCAGGCTATCCCCTAATCTAAACCCAAGTCACGGCTGAGAGTCTGGTCAGTCACTTCGAACCTGGCCCAGGCTCTGGTTGGCTCTGTGGCAGCAGCCACCGCCAACCGTGGAGGACGAGCTGTTCTCGGCTGAGGGTTACCCATAGGCCCCATAGTAGTTCCTTTTTGGGATTACCTTATAGGATTCTAAATATGAACCCCAAAAAGGAACTACTATGGGGCCTGTGGCTACTTGCGCCCTAAACCCTAAACCCGGCTACGCACATGAAGACCTGCGGCCTCACGAATCCCAGGAAGACGAACCTCAAACATCAATGAGGCGACAAACCAACAGGCGAGCGCGTGAGCCGGAAACCATAGCACCCGACACCCTAAACCCCTAAAACCCCCAAACCCTCATCACCCAGACCGGAAACCCCTAAACCCCTAAGCAACTAAACCCCTAAACCCCTAATCCCTAAACCCCTAAGCAACTAAACCCCTAAACCCCTAATCCCCTAAACCCCTAAGCAACTCAACCCCTAAGCCCTAAACCCTAAAGCCCTAAGCAACTAAACCCTCAAGCCCTAAACCGCTAAAGCCCTAAGCAACTAAACCCTAAGCCCTAAACCCTAAAGCCCCCTCAAACAAACGACTAGGCCACGTGTGCCCCGGGACCTGACAAAAAGGGCCGCTGCCACGAATCCCCTTTGGGGTTTAGGGTTTAGGGCTCAGGGTTTAGGGTTCAGGGTTTAGGGTTTGGGGTTTAGGGTTTGGGGTTCAGGGTTCAGGGTTTGGGGTTTAGGGTCCGAAGCCCTCGAGTCCTCGAATGTTCGGGAGGAGCCCGGCGGCGCTCGTCGGCAGTACCTCCTTCACTTGGCTGCACAGTGTGTGCCTCGCCGACATCCGCAGTGGAGATGAGACCCACAACCCCTTAACTAAGAATTTTACCTTACTTCTTATTGGGATTCATATTAAAACTTAAGGTCTATTCCTGAATAGGGGATGTTGGAGTCTTTGGGTTAGATACATGTGGTTGGCGTCACGCATGTTGATTCCTTCGCTTGTCGGTTCCACATAGTTACCATGAAGTTCGGGGGTGCTGGCAGATTTGTGGAGCTGACCCGAAACAGCGCGGCGCAATGTATTTCAAGGGATACCCCCTAAACCCTTAACCTTAAACCCTAAACTCTAAACCCTTAACATGAAACCCTAAACCCTTAAGCTTTAAACCCTAGACCCTAAACCTTCAACCCTAAACCCTAAACCCTGGGGGTTTGGAAGTTGTCCCAACCAAGCTCCCAGCCAAGAGTCTTCCATGAACGGCTTTGAGTCTCTCCCTGAGTTCTGATTGATTTGGTCGCCTTTTTCTGGCTTAAGCAGCGAATCTAGGGTTCAGGAGTTTAGGGCTTAGGAATTTAGGGTGTAGGGGTTTAGGGTTTAGCGGTTGATAATGAACCCCAGAAAGTTGGAACATAGGTTTAGGAGGATCCCTTATGCTTTACCTTAAGGGCATGAGGACATTAATGTTCCGACTTTCTGGCTTCTACTGCAAGCCTTCCGGCACCAGGCAGATAGCAAGTGCTTCCAGGGCAGAGCGGGATCCCACACTCTAGACCCTAAACCCCAAGCTTTCGGGTTTCTGTCAACCCCCAGTGCCTTGGGCCATAGCTCCTGAGACGCGGGAGCGAGAGTCTGAGGTGGAGTGCGGCTGCCACACAGACTTCGAGCATGCCATCCTGGGGCGCAGGCTCTGCGAGGCCGACGGCGGATAAAGCTGGGCAGTTGCTACACCAAGAGGTTACGATCACAAGTAGGGGGGCGTTCGTTCGGTCATTTATCATTCTGGAGACCGAAAATGTGCATCTGCAAGGCCAGGCAAGACTCAGCGCGAAGCCTTCGTGTTGGGGTTGCGAGTCTTCAGGGTTGTCAGGTTCAGGGGTTGTGGTTCGGGTCATTTTGCAGCAGCTTCCACCCCAGATCCTGTGGTTTCCTGCTGCTGTGCTGTTTACACCCTCTTACCCTAAAGCCTAAACCCTCTTACCCTAAACCCTCTTGCCCTAAACCCTAAACCCTCTTACCCTAAACCCTAAACCCTAAACCCTCTTACCCGAAACCCCAAGCCCTCTTACCCTAAACCCCAAGCCCTCTCGCCCTAAACCCTAAACCCTCTTACCCTAAGCCCTAAACCCTGAACCCTAAACCCTGAACCTTAATTGCCTGGAGAAGCTGGGCTCAGGGATTGCGAAGCTCTGAACCGCACCGCCGGAGAAGAAGCGCCTCAAATCCAAAGCGAGGGATTCGGGTTTAGGGAAGCCTTGGCTCAGAAAGATTCATTCTGTGTAATTAAAAGAAGGCGACTAATGGAGACACATAGAAATCAGAAGCATCATCATAGTAATAATGCTAATGACAAGAACAGTTCTGAACATGTTTAGTGTGATTGCTGTTACTTCTTCTTCTTCTTTGTTTGATTTGTTATTAACCCTAAACCCTAAACTCCAAACCCCAAACCCTGAACCCCAAGCCCTATTCCCTAAACCTCCGGGCTTCAGAAGGCCTGTGAGCGAGCGCACTCCAAATATGCTCTGATCCGAAGCCACACGGCGGTCAAGGAGCGACTTGGCGGAAGAAGTCAGCTTTCGGGGGGCATCTGTGGCTTTCGCTTAGGGTTTAGGGTTTAGGAGTTTAGGGCCTTCGAAATCTCTGCGCTCAGGAGGTGATGCGGTGGTGTATGATTGAATTTATTTGACTTCCATGTTCCTTTGAATCTCTGGCCCATCGCCGCTCCAGGTATCAGCTCCCGTTGTCTGCCATGAACACCCTGGCGCACATGGACGGAGTTACCGGCCGGGTCTACCTGCGGGCCTCCGTCTCATCCTTGGCGGACAGGTCGGGAGATCTCAAAACCTTCAGGCAAACTACACACCGTAGGTCCAAGCGGCAGTTTCAGAGAATGAGGGGCCCCAGTATCGCCTTCAGATAGTAGCATCCTTAAGATGGGGACGTGTGCCGGCGGTAATTCTCCAGTGTTAACCCTGTCGCTAGACAAGCTAGGCCTTGTCGGCACTAAGTTTTGCCCTCGGGTTCGCAAGGTTTTGGGAAATCGGGTAACCTCAATTAGGAATGCATGGGATAATTGCTGTGAACCTGCATACCTCAAGTACCCTACAGTGTGTCTCTGTGCGTGTGCGTGCGCGTTGAGAATTCAGAAGTTCGCTCGAGGAGCCCACCTGCCATTGTGTTTAGGTTTCAGGATTCAGGGTTTGTGTTTAGGGTTTGGGTTCAGGATAGTGTTTAGCGATAGAGCGGGCTGAAAGGATGTATTGATACAGTAGCAATGGTGTTATCTCCAACTCAGGCATGCATCTCATCAATTCAGTCACTCTCTAAACCGCGCGGAGCCCCAAAAGCCCAACACTCCTCAGCCCCACAACGTCAACCTTGAGCTAAACTTCAGAGCCTTCGTAATATAGAAGCCTGAGTCAATTCTGTTACTATTACTTACGCTTCCTTGTTTGTTATTTGGCCCAAAACCCAAGTCTAGTTTTTAACGCCCCCCGAAACCCAAGCCCTAAACCCTGATCACCAAAAGCCCAAAGCCCCTAAACCCAAAGCCCTATAAACCCTAAACCCTGAACACTATAAGCCCTAAACCCTGAACACTATAAGCCCTAAACCCTAAACCCTATAAGCCCTGAACCCTAAACTCTATGATAGCTGAGAGTTCTTCCCGTTCGACAGGCATCATACCCAGTCTGGGCTCCAGCGCCTGAGGGCTTCTCGGCTGATCTTGCCGTTGTTTTCTCAGGGTTTTGCGTTCAGGGTTTAGGGTTCATGTCACAGTTTAGGGTACGGCGTTTAGGGTTTAGGGTTTATGTAGCAGTTTAGGGTTTAGGGCTTCGGGTTTAGGGCGGTTGTGGCTTCGGGCGTTTCAAGGGTTTTGGGTTGGGTTTCTGAGCTCAGATTTAGGGCTTAGGGTTCGGCCTTTACGAGTTCTCTCCAGGGTCAGTCACATACCATACCATTATGATTCGGCTGGCATCGATCCATCCATTTGTTGTGGAAGGTGCAGGTGAAAGAGGTTAAGCTCGGCAGGCCTCAAAAAAAGCAGTGCGTAGCAGCCTGTCCTAACCCCTAAACACAAAAGCCCTAAGCCAGAACTCTAAAGCCCGACACTCCGAACCGTCAAAAGAACCGCGCCCCCAACCCTCCAACCCTGAACGATAGGCCATTGTTGTAAGCCTCAAGAGCCAAACCCTGAAAACCTTCAAGTCGATAATCCCCTACCTACAGGGGACCTTAAGGGACTATCATAGGGATCCATTCCCCCATTCCCTACTAAGAACCCGGGGAGTTGGTTGTGTAGGGTTTAGGGTTTAGGGTTTAGGGTTGTGGGTTTAGGGTTTAGAGTTTCTTGTGCCCTTATGGGCGCCTTTCTATCGGACTGTACGAGACCCGGCGCGCCGGAAGCTCCGCGCAACATCCTAAGAAGCAAGCTACCTAGCCCCCGAAAGTGGGTAAGATAATGGCCCAACAACTATAAAAGGCCATTGTTCTACATACTATGGGGAGCTAGGTAAACCCTAAACCTTAAACCCTAAGCCCCAAACCGTAAACCTAGAACCCTAAACCTTAAACCCCAAGCCGCAAACCTTAAACCCCAAACCCTAAACTTTAAACCCTATAAGCCCCACCAGGCGAAGAACGACATGGGTAAAACCGCAGCGGGCCGACAAAAAAAGCGGCCCGAGGCCGTGAGTCGATGAATTTGGGTCCCTTTAAAGGGTTCCTTCAAGGGATCTATCGGGATCTAGAGGGCTGAGTGAGAGTTTGGGGTTTTCGGTTTTTGGGATTTTGGGTTTGGGGTTTGGGATTTTGGGGTTTTGGATTTTGGGGTTTTGGGGTTTAGGGTTTTGGGGTTTTGGGGTTCAGAGTTTTGGGGTTTAGGGTTTAGGATTTTGGGGTTTAGGATTTTGGGGTTTAGGGTCTTGGGGTTTTGGGGTTTAGGGTTTTGGGTTTTGGGGTTTTGGGGTTTTGGGGTTTTGGGGTTTAGGGTTTTGGGGTTTTGGGGTTTTGGGTTTGCCAACTGAAGCGCCGCGCCTCGACCCAAGGGGGTCGTCCACGGCGCGTCGCGCGAAAGCTAAAACCCCACCCCAAGGCCACCCTGTTCCTTTCACATCGGGTTTTTGGTTTTTGTTTATGCAAATATCGATGCAACATCATTC